TCATTTTTGATGATATAAAAAAATGTTTTAAATGAAAATGGAAGAATTTTGAGAAGGACGTATTTTGATCATGTTGGTTTTTGTTTAGATGGAGGCATCAAAAAGTTATTTCCACTTTTTTAAATAGAATTGTATGATTTTTTTTTTATACAATATGATTCCTCTAATTATTCTGCATATAAAAGTATTAAGGTAGTGATAAAAAAAATAATTTACGAGATATTTTACATTTTATTCTGACACATATTCTGACATAAAATGTTAAATAACTCGTAAACTATTGATTTTTTGATATCCACCTTAATACTTTTATATGTAAAATAATTAGAGAAATCATATTGTGTAAAAAAATCATATAATTCCATTTAAAAAAGTGAAGGTGATTCCACCTAGAAAAAAAAACAATGACCAAAATACATGACCAAAATACGTCCCCTTTGAAATCCTTCTATTTTCGTTTGAAATATTTTTTTGTATCATCAAAAATAATCAAAATATTTAAGATATTCGATTTAAGTGGACTACCTTACACAATTGCATATACAATTCGCATTGAATTATTTTAAGCATTAAAAATCCAGCTTTAATCGTTATAGACATTTAATTTTTAGTTCTTATTAGTGTGTTTAGAAGTATAATATCATGATTCGATTATATGTACACATTTAATCTCATATGATTATATAAATTAATAATATATATAATAATATATATATTTAGTTTAAATTAAAATGTATATTTACAAAATAACGTAATTTATAAAAAAATTTTTTAAGTTGGCCTTATATAACCAACTTAAGAGAATCAGGTAATAAAAAAATCGATTTTTTTAATTTCATTTTTCGAAAGTTTCATCTTTCTTGAATAAAATGCCTCTTACAATTAATAGATGTTGCAATTTGCGAAATTATCGATCTTTTCGACTGCCGTCGAATAGATGCAACTGACATTCTATTTCCAGATGTCCATTTACAGATGTTAAACATCGAAAAAAAGAACAGATACAATACCGCTCATTTAATCGTATGGTATGTACGAATAGCAACAGCGACGGACTATATCTTATTACTCTTCCAGAGATACATATTAGTAATTGTACTTTGAAATCATTCAAAACTTACGCGTTTTTTACGAAATTTCTTTTTATTTTCGTTCTAATCTGATAATGAATAGACAGAAATATATACAAATCGATTTGAAAAAATTCTGAGATGTATAGAACACTTGTCATTTCCCGTCAAATTTCCAATACAATCTGCAAAAATTCGAGTTTTTCTTAAAAAAATTTAAATGTCGCCTTTTAACTGTCATCTTAATAATTTTGTTTCGATTTTTTTTTGTTTAGAAACTAATTTGATGAACAACCTCCCGCACAAAAAATGTATATTGATATTTCACTTTTTAAATTTTGTATCGCAATAGGGTAATGGTTTTTCAAATTCCTATATGGTCCATTATCACGCCATTTTTTAAATATACAGTGGATGCAAAAAGTATTCGTATAGAGAAAATATTTTTTAAAAAATCTTTATTTTTAAAAAGTAAATATTATCCAGCGAAAAATGTGTCATCGAATTGATGTCGAATCCTCTTCTCTCCAGTCGGATCATAAATTTAAAATCTCTAAGAGTTTGGATTAGAATTCTAATATCGATATTAATGGCTCACAATGTTGTCAGCCTTTTTTTATGACAAAAAATGAAATGAGATCATCCATTCTCTTCTACGTTCATGGTAAACCGAACTGGGATACTGATTGTTGAACCGAATACTGGGATATTGATTGTTGAAAAGATTTAGATATTTATATTATACTTCTACTATGAACAAAGAATGGAAGTAATTCGTGGTAATAAAGTTACAATTACAAGTTTTTTTTGGTAACTTACTGAACCTAATATATTTATGACATAATTTTCGTTTATTCAATTTGCAGTTTTTAAATAGTATTCATATGATATAAATATATCTGATTTCAAGATCGTTTTAATATTTTAAGATGTTAAAACGCCTGTGTGATTATTTAGTATTTTTACAGATTTTTTTTTAGAATTTTTTATCAACTTTTTAGCACTATATTTTCTAATTTTTACCAACATGAGAAAATACAATATTAAAAAATTTTGAAAAAATTTTTAGAGGTCTATGAGAAGGAAATAAACAATTTTTGTCTCTTGTAGTTTTTCTGATAAAATTAATAGTATTTGAGTAAAAAATTATTGAAGACAATTTTCGGCAATTTTTAGCAATTAATATCTTGTTAACATATTGCAAAAATTGTAAAACTGTAGAGGACTTTTCATTTCGATATATTGTGTAACGTTTTGGACACAAGAATCATTGGACTTGATCAGAATAACGTGACATCTAGATTCTCTCGGTTCGAGAGAACGAACGTTTCTGCACTCAACGCGATTTTGAATGACTATTTTTGTTAATTTCCGCATATTATTGTCGTTTGCGAGTTCTCTCTGGGATAATTGGCAGTTTCTAAGTATGATTAACTGGATGCTGGAGTGACCAAATTGTCGGGACTTTGCAGATCGATATAAATTTCCGAATTTACTGAATGGAATCAAAAATTCTTTCATGGGATTAAAGTAGTAAAAATTTGATGGTGCTGCAGTGAACTTTATACTAAAATAAAAAAGAAGTTAGAAACTTACATTTTTCAACTTATAGAGCACCTGATGTAGATATTTTTTTAATGCAAAAGTTTTATAGCTCGTGTGGACAAAACAATAGATTAGCACCCAGCGCTTTACGTGCACAAACAATACTGAGTTTATGAAACTAAGATTAAAAGCTAAAGCTAAAGAGAAAGATTTATATCGATCTGCAAATGACGTATATACGAACACTGAGCGAAGAATCGGAATGGTAAACAAAGCAATAATTGTGTCTAGCAGTCGG